GCAGGGGGAGCAGCAGAGGGAGAGGTAGAAGCAGACTCCCTGCTGAGCAGGGAGCCCGATGTGGGGCTCCATCCCCGGACCCTGGGATCATGACCTGAGCTGAAGGCAGACCCTTAACCGACTGAGTCACCCAGGCGCCCTCCCTAGACTTCTTTTTTTTTTTTAAAGATTTTATTTATTTCACAGAGAGAGATAGCAAGAGCAGGAACACAAGCAGGGGGAGTGGGAGAGGGAGAAGCAGGCTCCCCGCTGAGCAGGGAGCCCGATGTGGGGCTCAATCCCAAGACCCTGGGATCATGACCTGAGCCGAAGGCAGACGCTTAACAACCAAGCCACTCAGGTGCCCCCAGACTTCTTTTTTAATGAGATTTTATTTATTCATTTTAGAGAGAGTGTGCATGTGCACATGCACAGGTGGGTAGGGACAGTGGTGGGGGGAAGAGAATCCCGAGCAGGCTCCACACCCAGAGTGGAGCCCGACGGGGATTTGACTCAACCCTGAGATCATGACCTGAGCTGAAACCGAGTTGGACGCTTAACCCACTGAGCCACCCAGGTGCCCCTTCCTGAGACTTTTTAAATGAAATTTTCTACACACAGAAAAGTTGAAACTGTAGCTGAGTTATATCGTATACCCTACCCTACGTTGAGATCCATTCACTGATATTTTGCTGCGCTGTTTTTTTGTTGAGCCATTTGAAAGCTGGCAGTAAACTGCAGAGGGCACGATACTTCTTATAATAGGGGTATTTTTCCTTATAACTACAATATTGTAACTAAGAATGTTACTTAGTATTTAGCCCTGTTCAGACTTTGGCTGTACATCATTTCTCACGTAAGTGTTTGTGGTCGTTCGGGTTCCTCCCACCCGTGTTGGACCATCTGTGACAGCAGCTTTCAGACAGCTTACTAGCAACCCAGACTTCAGCCCACACTGGACGTGTTTTGGCCGTTAGCACTCCCCTGTACTTTTCTGGTAGTGGTCCAGGTGTGGAGACCTCTTTGGGACTTAACATCTTTGCTTAAACAGTTTTGGAGATTTATTTCCTTTTTATAAATAGCACTGTTTGATGATAACAGCTGGCCGCAAATACTTTGATATGTAATTTCTGTTTGTATCTGAAATGTGGAAGCGCTCATTTCTTACGCTTTCTGGAAATAGCATATAGTGGCACTGAATTTTGTGGCGCCCTCTTCCTTTATGGGAACAATCTACGTGTTTACTGTTGACATAGGAAATTCCCTCGGCAGTGCCCTTGCGGTCTGCCTGTGCTGCAGCCTGGTCCCTGTATGTCCCTCCTGGTGGCCGTGAGGTGTCTGAGCAGAGGCGCAGGCAGTGGTGTGTGACGCACAGAGTGCGCCTTGAGACATTGCTTTTCTGTGAAACCGTTTGTGAGAGTCTCATCCCCTTTAGGATTATTATGGAGGGAGAATTTTGAGTTTGAACACTAAATTAATGACACATTATAAAGATTGTTTAGCAAAATTGCAAGCCTGGCCGTGTTTAGTAAAGGTGGATTTAGCAGAGGAAAATCCAGGATCTTTTCTTCTCCAACTTTTTATTGTGAAAAGCTTCAAATTGAAATATGAGTTCAAAGAGCATTAGTACGCCCCTCACTTAGATTCAAGATTTCGTAGTTTGCAGTTTTCATTTTACTGTGTGTATGTGTATCTCATTTTCTTTCCTGAACCATTTGAAATTCACTTGCAGACCTCATGGCTGTCTGCTTCTAGAAATCTCTGTATGTGTTTCCTGAGAGTGACCATATTTGGGTGTGCCACCCCAGCATCACAAGTGTGTGTGAGGGGCCAGTGGTAATGCCACAGTGTCCTTGAATTTCTCCGCTGGTCTGTGGTGTCTTGAGCGGCTTTCTCCTCCAGACCCCGCCCGCACTCAGGGCTCCGTTAGTCTCAGGCTGGAGCTGTACGTGGACGTTGGGGGAGTGGTGCCTGTTTGCCTTGTAGACACTTGTGTGTGGCTCTCGGGTCACCTGTGCTCACTGTAAACTGGGGATGAAGTGCAGAGGCTTGGGGGAAGCCTTTCTGACAATGCTGTATGAGCGATGGCATCCCCGGGGGCCGTGAGGAGTGCCTGGCTCACGTGAGAGGGGCTGGTTTTTGTGGCCCTGCAGCCGAAAGCCGCGTGGCGCCGTGGCGCTGTGATGTCGTTGCCCTCGTGATGGCCGTGGCCTTCGGGCCTCTGCAAACGTAGGGCTGCCTTTCTATGGCCCATGACAGCATTTTCTGTAATACTTGAACAAACTTTAGTAATTCCCACTCTCCTAGAAATAATGCAATTTTACAGTGTCAGCATTTACAGTTTTTTAAGAAAAATTTATCTTCACTTTGTCTTGTTGACTAAATTAACCATTTAATAGAGTAACTTAAGGTAAAAGTATGTTTAAAAAGTGTTTTTTGAACAAGTTAAGTTTTTCTCTTTCCAGTCAAAAGTGAGATTTGTTCTGGGGAAGTTTTTCGAAGCATCACATGGCAGAGCAAAGCCAGCGGTGCTTAGTCAGCACTGGCTCGTGTTTGCCACTTGCTCGGGCTCCCCCTTTGTCTCTGGACTCATAGGCATTGGTAAGATTAGGCAGTTGGAATATTAACTGCATCTCAGAAATGGGGAAGGACTTTGATCTCACATTTTGCATTCTTAGATTATTCAGTCTCTCACTGCAGCTCTTCCTCCAACCTGTGCCTTGCACTGTTTGAAAGTAGAACAGGCCTGACAGGTTCATCCCGGCCACCCGCGGTGACGTGGTGTGCAGTAGGAAGCATCACCGGGAAAAGGCCGCACACTTCAGGACCTCCGGAAGCTGGGTTTCTCATGTTACAGAACCAGTTTAGTTCACTAGGCTAGGGTACATTGATGCTTGTGTGCAGATTAGACTATTCCTCAGTCTTGGAGGCGGCTTTGTGTAGAGCACCAGGAGTCGGGGGATGTTCTCCAGTTGGGAGATGGTGCCTCGTTTGTCGAGCGCTGCCGAGAATGCTCTGGTGGGAAGGCAGGGGAGCGTGGAGGGCGCCATCAGGCTCAGGTGGCGCGAGGGTGAGCTGTCCTCTCTTGTGCGGGGCTGTCCTCCTGGCGGATGGCAGCCTGCCTGCCCGTGGCGCGGACTGCTGTTGCATGTTCCCTTGAGGCGGGAGGTGAAAAACTGGTTGGCTATGCCTAATGGCATAAGCTGTGGGCACCGTAGGCAGGGAGTTGGGTCAGGGTTTTGCCACCAAGGTGACAGGACAAGAAGGGTAAGAAAATGGAGGACAGCAGGGCGGTACTGTTGTGGTTGATGTCCGAAGAGTCAGAGCAGTTAGGAGGGCAGTTTAGTCCCCGAGGAAGACCACGGACAGTGCCACAGGGGTGAGGCCACAGAGAGAGGTAATGGTTGCAGCAGGCAAGTGTGGGGTGAGAGTGGCCGGGTAAGGGAAGGGGGACGATCGGAGGCGGTTTGAGTTGAGGTGCTTGGAATGAGGGTTCTGGACGTGTGGTAGTCCGTGCCGATGAGAAGGTGCAGGGTGTGACCCTGGAGTTCAGAGGTGGGGGTGGGGAGCAGGTGGCTTGAAAGGAGGGTGTCAGAGACCTGAGGGTCAAGTTGCAGAGGCATTGTTGCCGAGGACGTGGTGAGAATGGTGGTGCAGAGGAGGAGGGTGGGCACGGGGTCCTCAGGCGGCCGGAGACCAAGATGTCAGGCCACACTGTGGCTGTGTGGCTGTGTGGGCAGCAGGGTGGGGAGCTGTGTGTGTGTGTGTTGGGGGGGGGACCCAGCGGCATTCTGCCTTCTGGAAGGCAGGGCCCCGCAGGGCAGGGGAGTCGTGTGGATGAGTTGCTGAGGGAGGTGGCATGGCTGGTGCTGAACAGGGTCGGGGAGCGAGGCTCCAGTGGCTGTGGGTGGACTCGGGAGATGGGTGGCAACCACGTGTCAGGCAGCCTCGGCCTGGGCTCCTCAGGTCTTGGACAGTGAGGCCACAGAGTACTGGAACCTCGCAGGGGAAGAGCCGCGTCCAGAAGAGGTGCTGCCCCTGGCTGAGGCTTGCACTGTCCTCCTCTTTCCTGAGCCCCAAACGGGGGGCACCCTGGATACTTACTGAATGCATGAATTCTTAAGATCTGGTCATTTTTAAGCCTGTCTTCCTTGAATAATAAAAAGTTTTATATAGTTAAGAATTTTTATTGGTTAAATGGATTCTTCTCTCCCCAACTAATTATGCCTTTTAATCATTCTATTTTGTTACATTTTTGTCTCAAGAAAATTCATCAGCACTGCTGTGAACACAGGCGGTGGTTGCATGAAGACTGAATATGCCCAGCCTAGAGCAGTCCTGGGTTCAGTGGGATTTGCAGCAGACATTTTCGTGTTTTATGAGACTATGTGTTACCTATGTATTACTATGTGGACTGAAACTGGAATCAAATTTGGCTGACAGGATAAACTGCTTCCCTAAGATGACCTCACTTTTGCATGGGTGTGGGACTTCCTGAGCTTTTCCTCTGGGTTCTGGGAGCTTGGGAGCGGACAGGGCACCTCAGTCTTGTTGGTTGTGCTCCTTTCTCTTGCCCCGGCTGCTGGCCTGCTGACCTGGCGCCCAGCCGTGGTTCTGACCTGAACTTGGCTCCCGTGCTGCCCCCACTGCAGCCGTGCTGCTACCCTTCCTTCCCGGGACTGCTGCCCCCGTGGGCTGGGTCTTTGTGTCCCATTGAGGAGATACGGGCCATGGCAGGGTCCATCTTCATGGACACCCCGGCGTCTGCCCTTTACTGATGTTGGCGGCAGAATGGGTTCCGGGGTGCGTGGAGGAGGCAGACGCAGTGTGGTGTTCCCCGCGGCCTCCGGGGAGTCGTGCTGCCCTTGGCGCCCAGGTCTGCGGAAATAAGGCTAATTGCTTCTGGGCAAAGCACTCTATAGCTGATGTCGTGTTTAAAATTTTATGTTAGTTGGTGGCTCACTCGGGTAGTTTTGTTCTTATGATGATGCTCTAGTAACGAACTATTCACTGTTTTACAGAGTCCTTATGATTTCACATGTTTTTGCTGAACTTGTAAAAGAGGCACTTGGATGATGGATTAACAGGAACACTGAGATTCTGTGAAAAGTTTCAAATCGGAGAGTATTCAATTTTCACCCTAGTCCGGCAGCTGTGCTGCTCACTTAAATACAGATGAATGAAGACCCCATTCGGGAAGACACCTGGCCAGCGGTCCAGAGCGGATGCAGGTAGGCGGTGCGGTCCCTGTGTCTTTTAGTAAGTGTGAAATGCTGCTAAAACCCAGGAATACTTTCACATAGTTCTTAGTGGTTTGCTGTTCCCAAAGCTGTGTGCTTTCCTCTACTCTGTACACATATGTGGGAAAAAACAGCTTCCTTTTTTGAAAGGCAGGGACCATGTTCATATTTTTTCTGCGGTCTTTCATCTTCTGGCAAGTTCCAGATGTCCATTAAATTTAGCAAGTGAATTGTAAAAACCTACCTAATGGGATTATAAAAAATGAAGGATTTATCATTTCTTTTTGAAAGAAGTGAAAGTGATTTGACTAGAGCAGTATGAGATTTAGGGTATTTATAGTGATTCTAAGGAAAAAAGTTGTTTGTATGTTTGTTTGAAAGAACTTTATTGGAATGAAATGGATAGAAATGAAATAAGTATTTGATAGAAATTAATTCTTACTCTTGGGGCACACAGCTGATACAACTAGAATAGAGGGTTAGACTTTGCATGATCTTTACCCACCCCAGAAACCAAGAGAAAGTCTAACAGGCTACACTGTGAAATAGGTAAGTGGTATTTTCTTTAGGACTTAAGTTCCTCTCCATTCAGAAATACATTGAAATGTTGAAAAAAGTCTGTCATAGCATTTTAAGATTCTTTGATAAATGAATCTGAGAATTATGCTGGTAAAACTAATAATTCTACAGAAATGGTTGCTGTTTGATTTAGTACTGTTTTTTACATTTATTAAGATAGTATTTGGAATTCTTTGTATAAGAGCCACAGGGATTCAGATTTTTAAGTACCGATTATCTCTTTTTTATTTTAGCTCCTTTTTTGTGAAGATCATATTGATTTCACTGTTTAGGGTTTGTCAGAAGATTACTGTGGGCCAGGATGACAGACTGAAGCATAAGCCATCTGCGAGTGTGTTACCGAATCCCGGCCCTCTCGGCCACGGACACAGGCACACCACACGTCTTCTCGAGCCTTGGCTTTTATCACCTAAACAGGGCTGTGCTGAGCTTATTAGGAGGAATAAATGAGCTTGTGGGTTGGGCCTCAGCTAGGTGCCTGGCACATTATAGCTGTTCTACAAAAAAACATTGTTATCGTTGATCATACTATTTACAATAAAATATTTTTAATTTTATTTTGTTAATTGCAAAAATTGCTGTCAAGTTTTTTTTTTTTTTAAGATATTTATTTCGGAGAGAGAGAGAGAACAAGCGGTGGGGAGGGGCAGAGGGGGCGCACGCGAGAGAAGCAGACTCCCAGCTGAGCAGGGAGCCTGATGCTGGGCTTGATCCCAGGACCCTGGGATCATGACCTGAGCCCAAGGCAGATGCTTTAATCGACTGTCGTTTTTTTGTTGGAAGGCACCTATGCTCACCACTATACCACCAACGCCGGCTGTCGTTTTTTTGTTGATCAGTGAAACCTCTCACGTTTGTCATTGGGAATAGTAATTCATTTTCCAGATTTCTTTTTATGCACACTATTCCAAATTCACTCCTGTTTTCTTCATTGATTTTGAGTTCTTGTCATCAGGAGAGTGAGTGAGCAGATTACACTGATGTGTCATGTGGTATAAGTGCCCGAAGGATCTAAACCAAGAGATGCTGTTGCTCTTTAGGGAGAGATTGTTAATCCCAGTCCATACTCTGATCTTGTATTTTCTTCGTCCTCAACATTTCTGTAGAGCTAAAGACAAAGCGGTACTCTGTAAGTTCTCGTTGGCCCATTGTTTGATACTTTAACACAAGACTGCAGAGTCACTTTTTTCCCACTGTTGTTTGATAGATCGTATTTTGGAAAGATTGCTGATCCCTTGATCAGTATGGTTTATAAAATTGTCTTAAATCATTCTTCCTATTAACATAGACCAAGGCTCTTGTCAGTTATGCATGTAATTGACAAATAAAGAAAATTCACCCAAAAGGGGGGAGTTTCTTTTTCTCCTGCAAGGAGAAGCCTGGGTGGGCATTCCAGCATTGGTGCAGTGGCTCAGCTATGCCTGGAGAGAAAACTGAGGGACCTTTCTCCTCCTCCCTGGGCCTCTGGGGAGCTGGACTACCATGACAGTCCCCCAGCGTGAGTGTCTCCAGAGAAACAGGCACAGCTGCGAGGCCCTCCTGGCGGAGCCTGGAGCCTTGGGGCTCACACGGGCTGACGTGTGCTGCGTTGCCAGCCCAGGTTCAAGGGAGGGAATGTGTACTATGCTTGATGGGAGGAGGGTGAGGAATTTGAGGCCCTGCCTTAAAAGTGCCATAGTGGTAAATAGATCACTAGGTAGTCCCTAGTACTGGGTTCTATGTTTGACATAGAGCATGGGTGATCAGTAAAAACTTGAAAATTGAATGCTTGCATGCTCTTTATATATCTAGTTCCACATATTAGGCATTTCTATTTAAAATAACTTAGGTTTATTTATATAACTATGTTGGAATTAAATTGGTTACTAAAATAATAATTTATATACACCTAATGATAGACAGCAAGTCCTATTATATGGCACATTTTTCATGTGTGTTTTCCCCTAGAGTTAGCCTCCATTTTTACTGGTTTGTCCAAGGTTGCAGTTTTTCTCTTTTTATGATATACTTTAATCATACAGCTAGGTACAGGGAATAGTAATAATACATATGCATGTACCTAACACTGTGACTTAGCAACTATTTTTGCTGTATTTAATTCAAATATTTTTAAAACCTTGATTTTATTTTTATCAAATTAATAAAAATTCATTGTTGAAAATGTCAAGTAGTGCCAAAGACTTATTACAACAAAAAGCAGGCACTCTGTCCCTTCTGTTGTTTACCTTCACCATTTGTAAATAATACGAAGAGACAAATTTCTCTTGAATCTGACAGTGCTGAACCAAGGAAGGCAGTGCGATGACTTTCTTTTTTATTTGTTTTTCCTGGAGTTAAGTGATTTCTTAATTTTTTGTCTATTTGCTTACATTTCTTTGCAGCTTGAAGTCTTTTGAACAGTCCTCACAGCTTTATAGACCCGTTAGTGTAATACGCCACACGGCAGGCACCATAGACGGCCCATCTGTCCGCGGTTCCCGGGGGGACCCTCCTAGCGGTTTCGGCCCTGTTCCCTGAGCCGCGCCCTGCAGCCCCACGGCCATTCTGTCATCCTTGGAATTCCTGTTTCCTGTCTGTAGCTGGATGCTCCCTGTTTCTGGTTGCCATGCCCTCCCTATTTCGGTGTGCACTCTTGCCTAGGAAAAGCTTGTACAGCGTCAAGAAGCTTCTAGAGCAGACAGTGAATGAGTTGATGGTTAAAGTGACAAGTGCAGGGCCGCCTGGGTGACTCAGTCGGTTAAGTGTCTACCTTTAGCTCCGGTTGTGATCCCGGGGTCCTGGGATTGAGCCCCTCGTCAGGCTCCCTGCTCCGCGGAAGGCCTGCTTCTCCCTCTCCTCTGCCCCATCCCTCCCCCACTTCCTGCCTCTGTCACTCATGCTCTCTCTCAAATAAATAAATAAAAATCTTTAAAGTGATAAGTGGAACGTATGGTCGGTAATATTCTCTACTTTTCTTCCCGTTTGAAATTGTCTCTAATACAGTTTCCAAAAGTGCACCTAGATGAGGTTTTTTGAAACCTTACATCAATATTGTCTTCATTCTTTTTTCCTGCTCAGTCTTCAGTGGAGCAAAAGGTTCTAGGTTGGAAATAACTTTTTATTCAGAATTCTCCAGGCATTGCTCCATTTCTTGTCTTTGAGACCCCAGTGTTGCTGTTTGGAGGAGCTGGATGCTGTTTCTGCACCTGGGTGTGTGTCCAGTGCTTTCAGCCTCCCCCCTGAAAACTTCTGGGCTGGACTTTTCCTGTGCTGGGAAACATGACAGTGAGTGGTCTTTTTCATTCGGTGCTTGGGCTTTTCTCAGTGGTAGGTCCGTCCTTCCACCGTGGGGAGTTCTGTGTTCCTTCTTTGGTGCTCATTTCCTCTTCTCCCTGGAATGCACACTGCTGGGACATCTGCTTCTTAGGCTGGTCTTTCTGTTTTTTTTCCCCTAAACTTCTCCAGTTACTCATTTCCATTTTCTCGTTCTTAGGAGGTTTACTGACTTTATTTTCCAACCTTTTAAGAAGATTTCTTAAGTGAGCATTTTGTTTCTTCTGTGAGCTCACTTTTTTTCATATTATTTCATAGGTGCAAGTAGCCTATACTTCTGAGGCTATAAATTGTATTTTTAAAAAGACGTGTTTGAATTAGCTTGGCCTGTTAGTGCTTTTGTGTCTATTTGCTTTTTAGTCAGTTTGTCTGGAGGTTTTCTTTACATTTCCTGAGATCTGAGGTGGATCCTCCAGCTAGGCACAGAGGAGAGGTTTTCTGTACATTTCCTGAGATCTGAGGTGCACCCTCCAGAGAGGCACAGAGGAGAGGTTTTCTTCACATTTCCTGAGATCCAAGGTGGACCCTCCAGAGAGGCACAGAGGAGAGGTTTTCTTTACATTTCCTGGGATCCGAGGTGGACCCTCCAGAGAGGCACAGAAGAGAGGTTTTCTTCACATTTCCCGAGATCCGAGGTGGATCTTCCAGGGGCACAGAAGAGAGGTTTTCTTCACATTTCCTGAGATCCGAGGTGGATCCCCCAGTGATGCACAGAGGAGTTGGTTGGAAGCTGCATGTGTAAGTGGCGCCTGGTGGACTTTAGTTAAATGATTGAGGCCTCCAAGGGTCAGTATTTTTGGGTGTTTTCTCTAAAGATGGATTTTCAGATTCCCTACCTGTAGGAGGAGAATATTAACCCTCAGAATTCGCGATTTCTCCTTACAGTCCTGTAGTTTTATGTCTGTTGAAGCCTCCCCACCAGAGGCCACTCTGGTCACACAAAACTGGGCTTTTGTCAGATTTGCTCAGTGGCAGGGACAGAGTGCTCTTGATGGCCTCCCGGGGAGATTTCACAGGAGGCAGAGCTGTTCACAGGGAAGAGTGAGTGAGTTGGTAGAGGGATGGAGGCACCGAGTGTGTGCACGAGATTGGTGAGGATT